TGGTGGCCATCATTGCCATACTGGTTCTTTACTGGTGGCCACAGCGGCCGTACTGGTGGCCGTCATTGCCATACTGGTTCTTTACTGGTGGCCACAGCGGCCGTACTGGTGGCCGTCGTTGCCATACTGGTTCTTTACTGGTGGCCACAGCGGCCGTACTGGTCCCGTACTGGTCCCTGCTGTCCCATACTGGTCCCAGTTCTCCCTGTACTGGTCTCTGCTGTCTCTGTACTGGTCCCAGTTCTGCCATACTGGTCCCAGTTGTCCCATACTGGTCCTGGCTGTCCCCATACTGGTCCCAGTTCTCCCTGTACTGGTCCCCACTGTCTCTGTACTGGTCCCAGTTCTCCCATACTGGTCCCTGCTGTCCCCATACTGGTCCCAGTTCTCCCTGTACTGGTCCCCACTGTCTCTGTACTGGTCCCAGTTGTCCCATACTGGTCCCAGTTCTCCCTGTACTGGTCCCAGCTGTCCCCATACTGGTCCCAGTTCTCCCGTACTGGTCCCAGCTGTCCCATACCGGTCCCAGTCGTCCCCACACATCTCCTTGCTGTCCCTGTACTGGTCCCGGTTGTCTCATACTGGTCCCAGTTCTCGTTGTACTGGTCCCCGCTGTCCCTACACCAGTCCCAGTTCTCCCACACTGGTCCTTGCTTTGCCTGTACTGGTTCCCTCTGTCCCCGTACTGGTCCCAGTTCACCCATACTGGTCCCTAATGTCCCTATACTGGTCCCCTCTATCCCTATACTGGTTCCCTCTATCTCCATACTGGTCCCAGTTCTCCTATACTGGTTCCCTCTATCTCCATACTGGTCCCAGTTCTCCCATACTGGTTCCCTCTATCCCCATACTGGTCCCAGTTGTTCCATACTGGTCCCAGTTCTCCCATACTGGTCCCAGTTCACCCATACTGGTCCCCTCTATCCTATACTGGTCCCAGTTCTCCCATACTGGTCCCTAATGTCCCTATACTGGTTCCCTCTGTCCTCATACTGGTCCCAGTTGTCCCGTACTGGTCCCAGTTCACCCATACTGGTCCCTAATGTCCCTATACTGGTTCCCTCTGTCCTCATATTGGTCCCAGTTGTCCCGTACTGGTCCCAGTTCTCCCATACTGGTTCCCTCTATCCCTATACTGGTCCCAGTTCTCCCATACTGGTCCCAGTTGTCCCGTACTGGTCCCAGTTCTCCCATACTGGTCCCCTCTATCCTATACTGGCCCCAGTTGTCCCGTACTGGTCCCAGTTGTCCCTGTACTGGGGCAGCGGGACCCGGGGCGGGCGGGGCGTGGCCAGGGCGTGGCCCCCGAGGGGGCGTGGCCTCGCGGACCGTTACGGCCGTTGGATTTCAAACCCTTCGCAGCGCGGGGGGGCCCAGGCCACGCCCCCTTCGCCGTCTCTTGACCGACATCCCGCACAGCCAATCAGAGCCCGGCGTCCCGGCGCGGGGCCCAATGGGCGGCCGCGCGCGCTCCGCCGGCCCCGCCCCCAGTAACTGACAGCGCTTCCCGCCAATTCCAACGGCCCGGCGCGAGCGCCCCGGCCCCGCCCCCGGAGGGCGGCCGCGCCGCCCAATTACCGCGCGTCGACGCCTTGACCGACGGGACGCTCGACCAATCGGCGCCGGGCCGAGGGGCGGGGCCAGCGCCGCTCCGGGTTCCCGTCGCCGCCCGAAGTCACCCCAAAACCCTCCCGAAGTCAGCCCAAAACCCACCCCGAAGTCACCCCAAAACCCCCCGGAGTCACCCCGAAACGCCCCGAGTCACCCCAAAATGTTACGCTTGCGCTGCGCCCCAAAATACCCAAATTTGCCCCGAACTGTCGCGCTCACGTGGTGCCCCACAATACCCCGGGTTACCCCGAAATACCCTGAATTTCCCCAAAATGCTGCACCCCAAAATTACTGCGTGCACGTGACGCCCCAAAATATCCCGAACTGCCCCAAAGTGTTGCACCCCAAAATACCCGAAAACGCCCCAAACCGCTGCTCACGCTGCGCCCCCAACCCCCTGATTTATCCCAAAATGCTGCGCCCCAAAACCCCCAAAATTGCCCCAAACTGCTGCTCACGCCGCGTCCCAAATCCCCTCAATTTAGCCAAAAATCCCCTGAATTGCCCCAAGATTTTGTGCTCGTGCGCCACCCCAAAATCCCCCAAATTGCCCCAAAATGCTGCTCACGCTGCATGCCCCAAATGCTCGATTCACCCTAAAATCCCCCAAATTTCCCCGAATTGCTGCACTCACGCAGCGCCCCCAAACTCCCCGAATTACCCCAAAATACCCTGAATTCCCCCAACATTCAGCAGCCCCAAAATACCCAGAATTGCCCCAAAGTTGCTCCAAATGTTCCCCTCACGCTCCTCCCAAAAACGCCTCAAATTCCCCCAAAACGGCCGCGCTCCCGCGACCCCTCCGGGTCCCCCCAAATCCCCCCAAATCCCACCTGGAATCGCCCTGAAACTGCCCCGAAATCCCACAAATCGTCCCGAAATTTCCCAAATTCCGCTGGAATCGCCCGAATTTCCCCGGAACACCCCAAAATTTGGTTTCTCACACCCACCTTTGCTGTGCCCACCCCGAGACCCCCTGAGACCCCCGGGGCCACTTGGGATCCTCAACCCTGGGGCCACCAGGGCCACCCCAGACCCCCCAGGGACCCCCCAGGGACCCCCCAGGGCCACCAAGAGACCCCCAGGACTCCCCTGGGACCTCCCAGGGACCCCCCAGGGCCACCAAGAGACCCCCAGGACTCCCCTGGGACCCCCAGGGCTACCCCAGACCCAGCACCCTGAGACCCTCAGGGCCACCCCAGACCCCCCCAGGACCCCCAGGGCAGCCAAGGGACCCCCAGGGCCACCTCAGACCCTCAACCCCAAGGCCACCCCAGTCCCCCTGAGACCCCAGGATGTGTTGGGGGGTCCCTGGGGGTCACCCCCTGTCCCCAGTCCCCCTCACCCTGACGTTCCCACGCCCCATCCCAAATTTTTTGGTGCCGTTTTTGTGACTTTTAGCCCCAGGATGGGGCTGGGGGGTCCTGGCCGTGCTCCCCACTCGGTGGGGAGGGGTCGGGGGGCTCCCCTGATGGCCACCAGGGTGGTACCGTGAAGACCCTCAGCACCAGGGGGGTCCTGGGGGGGCTGCGTCCCCCTCCCCACCCCGTGACCGACCCGGTAGCAGGGGTCCCGCCCCTCCCCCAGCCTCACCCGTGTGTGTTTCCTCGCCAGGACGGGACCCCCGCGCCGGTGACAGCGGTGACACCGAGGACGGGGGTCCCACCCCACCCCAAACCCCCCCGCGAGGGTCCCGTCCCCGGCGCCGACCACGGCCCCCGGGGCTGGTTTTAGCCCAGCGGGGTGGACGCGGCGCTGCCGGACCCTCCGGTGGCCGAGCCAGGACACGGCTTTGGGGGTGTCCGGTGTCCGCCCCGAGCCCCCGTCCCCTCCGTGCCCCCCACGCCGCGCAGTGACCGGCACTGGGATGTCGTTCCGGCCGCGGCCGTGATTCCCGCCGGTCCGGGCTGCCCCTCCTTCCTCCTCCTCCTCCTCCTCCTCCCTGTCCTGGATCCGGCCAGGCCCATCCCGTGCTTTGCCCAATTCGGCGCCGTTTCACCCCGCGCCGGTGTCTGGGGCTGTGTCCGTGTGTCCGGTGCTGTCCGCTTGTCCGTCTGCGCGGCCGGGACTGACCAGTGCTGTGTCCAGGGAGCTGCGGTGCTGCATCCGTGTGTCCGGCGGGGTCCGTGTGTCCAGCACTGACCAGTGCTGTGTCCGGAGAGTCGCAGGGCCCTGTCCGTGTGTCCAGAGAGACGTAGGGCCCTGTCCGTGTGTCCAGCGCTGACCAGTGCTGTGTCCGGAGAGTCGCAGGGCCCTGTCCGTGTGTCCAGCGCTGACCAGTGCTGTGTCCGGAGAGTCGCAGGGCCCTGTCCGTGTGTCCAGCGCTGACCAGTGCTGTGTCCGGAGAGTCGCAGGGCCCTGTCCGTGTGTCCAGCGCTGACCAGTGCTGTGTCCGGAGAGTCGCAGGGCCCTGTCCGTGTGTCCAGCGCTGACCAGTGCTGTGTCCGGAGAGTCGCAGGGCCCTGTCCGTGTGTCCAGCGCTGACCAGTGCTGTGTCCGGAGAGTCGCAGGGCCCTGTCCGTGTGTCCAGCGCTGACCAGTGCTGTGTCCGGAGAGTCGCAGGGCCCTGTCCGTGTGTCCAGCGCTGACCAGTGCTGTGTCCGGAGAGTCGCAGGGCCCTGTCCGTGTGTCCAGCGCTGACCAGTGCTGTGTCCGGAGAGTCGCAGGGCCCTGTCCGTGTGTCCAGCGCTGACCAGTGCTGTGTCCGGAGAGTCGCAGGGCCCTGTCCGTGTGTCCAGCGCTGACCAGTGCTGTGTCCGGAGAGTCGCAGGGCCCTGTCCGTGTGTCCAGCGCTGACCAGTGCTGTGTCCGGAGAGTCGCAGGGCCCTGTCCGTGTGTCCAGCGCTGACCAGTGCTGTGTCCGGAGAGTCGCAGGGCCCTGTCCGTGTGTCCAGCGCTGACCAGTGCTGTGTCCGGAGAGTCGCAGGGCCCTGTCCGTGTGTCCAGCGCTGACCAGTGCTGTGTCCGGAGAGTCGCAGGGCCCTGTCCGTGTGTCCAGCGCTGACCAGTGCTGTGTCCGGAGAGTCGCAGGGCCCTGTCCGTGTGTCCAGCGCTGACCAGTGCTGTGTCCGGAGAGTCGCAGGGCCCTGTCCGTGTGTCCAGCGCTGACCAGTGCTGTGTCCGGAGAGTCGCAGGGCCCTGTCCGTGTGTCCAGCGCTGACCAGTGCTGTGTCCGGAGAGTCGCAGGGCCCTGTCCGTGTGTCCAGCGCTGACCAGTGCTGTGTCCGGAGAGTCGCAGGGCCCTGTCCGTGTGTCCAGCGCTGACCAGTGCTGTGTCCGGAGAGTCGCAGGGCCCTGTCCGTGTGTCCAGCGCTGACCAGTGCTGTGTGCCCTGTCCGTGTGTCCAGCGCTGTGTCCATGGCCCTGTCCGTGTGTCCAGCACTGTGTCCATGGCCCTGTCCGTGTGTCCAGCACTGTGTCCAGTGCCCTGTCCGTGTGTCCAGCGCTGTGTCAGGGCCCTGTCCGTGTGTCCAGCGCTGTGTCAGGGCCCTGTCCATGTGTCCAGCACTGTGTCCATGGCCCTGTCCGTGTGTCCGTACACCCAGCACTGACCCCTTCCACACGCAGCGACCCGCGTGGCCTCACCCCGCGTCCCTCACGTCCGTCTGTCCGTGCCGACCCTGCCCCCTCCCCTGCTGACCGCCGCGTGTCCCCACAGGGAGGAGAAATCCGAGGAGAACCTGCAGCGGCCGCCCAAGGCCAAGAAGCCCAAAAAGGAGCGCAAGGAGCCGGAGCAGCCCGCGGCCGAGCCCGCCGAGGCCGGCAAGGCCGAGAGCTCGGAGGGGGCCGGGGCGGCGCCGGCGGCCCCGGAGGCGTCGGCGTCGCCGAAGCAGCGGCGCTCCATCATCCGCGACCGCGGGCCCATGTACGACGACCCCACGCTGCCCGAGGGCTGGACGCGCAAGCTCAAGCAGCGCAAGTCCGGCCGCTCGGCCGGCAAGTACGACGTCTACCTGATCAAGTGAGGCCCGGCGCGGGTTGTGCGCGTGTGGGGGGTGTTGGCCGGAGGGCGGGGGTGCGGCCGTCGCCGCTGACCGCTCGCTGACCGCTCGCTCTCCGTCCGCAGCCCGCAGGGAAAAGCCTTCCGCTCCAAGGTGGAGCTGATCGCCTACTTCGAGAAGGTGGGGGACACCTCGCTGGACCCCAACGACTTCGACTTCACCGTCACCGGCCGGGGCAGCCCCTCGCGCCGCGAGCAGCGCCCGCCCAAGAAGCCCAAATCGCCCAAAGGCCCCGGCACCGGCCGCGGCCGGGGGCGGCCCAAGGGCAGCGGCGGCGGAGGCGNNNNGGCCCCCTCCCGAGGTTGGGCGGGGTTGGGGGGGGTTGTTTTGGGGGGGCGGGGCCGCGTCTTCCCCCCTCCCCCGGCGCCGCTTTTCTCGTTCTTCCAGTTCCGTTCGCGTTTTCCGCCCGTGGGAACCATTTGCACTATGGGGGAGGGGAGGGGGCGGGGCCGGGATCCGGCCAGCGGCCAATGGGGAGCGGCGCTGCTGAAGGGGGGGCGGGGCCGAAGTCACGGCCAGTCAGGGGCAGGGATCCAGCGTGGAGCCAATCAGGAGAAAGGGGGGGCGGTGTCGGGGCGGGGTCTGGTGTGGAGCCAATCAAGAGGAGCGATGGGTTCAGCCGGGATCTGGGGCTGAGCCAATCAGGAGCAGAACTGGGCGGGGGTGGGATCAAGTGTGGAGCCAATCAGGAGCGACTGAGGAGCAGGGGTCTGGTGTTGAGCCAATCAGGTGTGACTTTATTGGGGGTTGGATTTTGAACCAATCAGCAGCTACTGGTCTGTGTGGGATCTGGTGTCTGGAGCCAATCAGGAGGGGCAGGATCAGGAGGGGGCGGGGCCTGGGCTTTGGTCAATGGGGCGGCTCTGTGGGAGCCAGATCTGCTGTGGAGCCAATCAGGAGGGGCGGGATCAGGGCTGGAGCCAATCAGGAGCAGCCTTGGGTTCAGCTGGAATCAAGTGTTTGGCCAATCGGGAGCTGCGATCTGGAGAGGGAGCAGAGGGGGATGGGGAGGATTCAGGATCCCCCCGAATGGAGGCGTGGTCGAGTCAAGAGCTAATCAGAGATCAGGTGGGGTCAGTGCCGTCCAATCAGGTTGGAGATCCTGCAGGGGCGGGGCCAGATCTGGTCCTGGGAGTGACTCCGGGCGGGGGCGGGGCCTGGCCAGGATCCAATCGGGAGTGGTTTGGATTGGAGGGGCGTGTCCCGCCCCCACCCAATGGGGTTGCTCTGCTCTGTGGAGGGGGGAGATCCAATCACGGCCATTCAGGAGATGCCGTGGCCATGGTGGGAGCCAATCAGGAGCAAAGGTGTGGTCTGGTCTGGAGCCAATCAGGAGTCAGAATGGGCGGAGCTGGGATCCAGTCTGGAGCCAATCAAAATTGAGGATGTGATCTGCTCTGGAACCAATCAGAGGCAAGAGTGGGATCTGGTACGGAGCCAATCGTGATCGAGCTGGGCAGGGCTGGGATCTGGTCCAGAGCCAATCAGAATTAAGCATGGGTGGAGCTGGGATTCGGTCCTGGGCCAATAAGAAATGAGGGAAATGAGGGTGGGATCTGATCGGGAACCAATCAGGAGTGAGCAGGGCAGAGCCGGGATCTGGGCCCGACCCAATCAGGAGCAAGCATGGGTGGAGCTGGGAGCTGGTCCTGAGCCAATCAGAAACAAGGGCCGGGATCTGATCAGGAACCAATCAGGAGTGAGCTGGGCAGGGCTGGGATCTGGTCCCGAGCCAATCAGGAGCGAGCACGGGGCGATCCATTTCACCCTTGGGGGGGGCGGGTGTGTGTCATCCTGCCCCTCCCCCACCCGTCCCCCCAGTCCCATCTCGGGGTGGGGGAGGGGTCCCCGTCCTGCACTTTACCCACTCTGGGGGGGGAGGGGCCGGGGTCGCCCCCCCTTTGTGCCCCCCCCGTTCTTCCATCGCCCCCCCCCGGGGGTCCCCACC